TTACAAAAGCTGCTTTTAGATAATAAATAATTTCACAGGGTTTATTCCATCATCCTTTCAAACTTGACTCAGTTGTCAGATCTCGGACTTCAAGCCAACAAATTCGAAGGGCATGTACCACAAGCATAGGAGTTCTTCAAAATCTTCAAGGATGTAACCTTTCAAATAACCTTCTTCATGGTGGTATTCCAAAGAGATGTTTGAATTCCAGCAACTTAGAATTGATTTATCTGCAAACAACCTGCATGGGCAACTTCCTGATGAAATAGGCAATGCCAAGGCACTCGTACATTTGAATCTTTCGTCAAATATGCTGTTTGGAGAGCTCGACCACTATAGGTAATTGTGAAAACTTACATTGGGTTGCGACGGAATAATTTGAGGAAGCATACCTGTTTCACTAGGGAACATAAGGTCTAGAAGTTCTGGACTTGTCTCACAATAATTTGACTGGGTAATACCTATGTCCCTCACAAACCTCCAATACCTTGAGCAACTAGATTTGTCATTCAACAACATCAGTGGTGAGGTCCCATTGAAAGGGATATTCAGTAATGTGACTGCTGTGAGGATTGATGAAATCCAGGGCTTTGTGGTGGGCCATTGAGCTACACCTACTGCATGCCAAGTCATGCCTGCTAATTCAAGTAAAAGAGGCATTCCATTGTACAGAAAGTGGTGATCCCTTTATCCAGCATTTTGGCACTTGTTATAGTCATAACTGTAATGGTGGTCTGGAGACGAAATCGAAAGACAAATATGTTATCTTTGCCGTCATTCGGCAGCAAGTTTCCCAAAGTTTCTACCACGATCTCGCCCAAGCAACATGTGGGTTCTCAACATCCAATTTGATTGGCAAAGGAAGATATTCTTCCGTGTATAAAGGAGAATCTTCCAAGACAGAACCATGGTTGCTGTCAAAGTTTTTTCTCCTAGAGACATGGGGCACAAAGAGCTTCATTGCAGAATGTAACGCTCTACAAAATGTGCGCATCGAAATCTAGTTCCTATACTCACTGTGTGCTCTAGTATTGATTCCAATGGAAATGATTTCAAAGCCTTAGTCTATGAGTTCATGACACAAGGTGACTTGTATGAGCTACTGTACTGACTCCAATGTGATGGGAACACATCAACTCGAAGCCACATCACAATGGCTCAAAGGTTAAGTATTGCAGTGGATGTCGCAGATGCATTGGAGTCTCCACCATGGCAACCAAGGAACTATCATCCATTGTGATCTGAAGCCTAGCAACATTCTTTGGATGACAATATGACAGCACATGTTGGAGACTTTGGTCTTGCAAGGTTCAAGTTTGAATCTGCAGCATCATCGTCCACTTATTCAATCTCGACTTCAGTCGCTATTATGGGAACAATAGGGTATATTCCTCCAGGTAATCTAAGTTTCATGCAGCGTAATGTTTTCATGCACGTTTATCATTGAGTAAACAATTTTTTGTGCAATCTGCAGAGTGTGCTGCAGGAGCAGTTTCGAGCGCTGGGGATGTCTACAGCTTCGGATTGTTCTACTTGAAATATTTTTTGAAGGAGGCCAACTGATGATATGTTCAATGGTGAGATGAACATTACAAAATTTGTTGAGATCAACTTCCTGACAGGATACCACAGATAATAGATCCTGAACTACTAGAAGAGAAACAACATTTATCTCCAGAAACTTCATTGGCCATGAAGGAGAAAAGCTTGAGTGTTTGCTTTCAGTCCTAAACATTGTGCTTCTGCACTAAGTCATTCCTCGAATGAGCGATTTGCATGCAAGTCACTGCAAGGTTGCACGGAATCAAGAAAGCATATATATCATAGTCAAAACTGAGGTAACACTAGCAACATCCGTTATACTTTGATATCGTATACTTCATAATTTGTTCTAGTTTGTTCAAAAAATTGTTCTAGTTGTTTCGCTTGCAGGATGAATTTTTTTTACCCTAGTGTCTAAGGCTGACACAACAAAAGCCTATCTCTGTACCATAACGTCAATTTAAAAGAAAAGTGTATTTTTCTTCAGGTTTCGCTCGACTCAAGCACTTTCATCTTCACTGCACGACACAGTAGCATGTAATCTTCAGAATGGATACATAATTCTAGCACAAGAGAGAGTATTCAACTTCACCGAGCATGCATGGTCTTGAATTTTCTCATGTTTGATTTCTGAAAAGAAGGGATTTCTTTTCAGAGACCGGCTTAAGGTAGTGTTAGTGTCAACTAAAGTAGTGGTGTTGAAGCGTGGACAATTTGTTGGTAAAATCTATGAGTGCAGGCTTGTTTAGCTTTTCTTCAGCAAATTTTGTAATAAGTGAGTATATTTTGGCACGTTAATGACAATGCAAGTGTTTGGCATTTTTGTTTGTGTCATGTTAACTTTGTTTTATGTCATGATTGTCCATCATGAGTTTAATTCTAGATTTCACTATTGCCAAAGGTTCTAAGTGCCATAGTTGGGTGCAATCAAAGCAACCTGAAAGCCTCACAAGGTAGAGGTGAGAGAAATTTGGCACCTCTAGAGCTAATACATTTTTGATATATGCGATGAATAGGGAAAAAGGTGGAAAGATATATTTCATGATTTTAATTGATGACGAACTAGATTTGCAATGTTTACTTGGTCAAATCTAAGGATGAAACACTATACTACTTTAAATTCTATAAGTCTGAAGTTGAGACTAACTAGAGGGGAAGATTAAGTCTAAAGATGGATCATGGTGGTGAGTATTTTCCCAGATTGTTTGATGGATTTTAGGAACACAATATTATTCATGAAAGGAAGCCCTATTCGTCTGAATCAAACAAGATTGCTTAGAGGAAAAGTTCACGCTGAATGATTTTGGTGAACACCATATTAGACATGCTAGTTTCTAAGGCATGGTGGGGAGGCTTTATTGACTACGGGTCATGTCCGTAATAGAATTCCAATAGAAATAAAGATGCAACCCCATATGAGGATTGGGTTGAAGGAAACCGCCACTTTCACTTATGATATGGGGATGTTTGGCTAAAGGCAACAAACCAATTTCTAAGAAGCGCAAGCTTGGACCCAAGGCTATGGACGGCGTTTAGGATATGCTCAATAGAGCATTGCCTATAGGTTCTTAGTGGTAAATTCTGAAGTTCCTGATATGCATGTTGATACAATTATGGAATCATGATGCTATATTTTAGATTATATTTCCTACGTAAGACGATATGGATAGAAATTCTAGATTCTTCTAAGATACCATTTTACTACATCTATCAAGTCTCTTGTTGAGTCATTTGAGCACCCACATGAGGAAGTCCTTGAGATGAATGATAATGAGCCCTATGAGGAAAGAGATAAGGACTGCAAAGTTTTTGGTGATGATTTCATTGTGTATCTGTAGCAATACTCCTTGTCTATTGCAAAGGCATATGCATGATCCAAATGCTCGATGATTGTTATCTAATGAGATGGACCGACTCCTTTCTAATGTGACCTGGAATTAACTGAGTTACCTATTTGTAAACCTATAATGTAAGTGGGTGTTCAAAAGGAAGCTTAGGCCTAATGGTACTATTGACAAGTATAAGGCCTGCTTATGGCTAAGAGTTATACCTGTGAAGCAAGGCAACGATTTCTTTAATACTTATTCACATGTTGCTAGAATGACCACTATTCAAGTTCTACTCTCGCTGCCTCATATGGTCTTCTCTCATCAAATGGATGTGAATACAACCCACCGAGTTGGATGAGGAAATACATATCAATCTTGATGGGCTTGTAGTACAAGAAGAAGAGCCAAGGTGTAGGTTACTAAAATCTTTGTATGGCTTAAAACAAGAAGCCAAGCAATGGCATAAGAAGTATGATGAACTTTAACTTTGCAGGCTTGCCATTATTAAGGCTAATAAATGTGTGTATTATCGCCATGGTGGAGGCATACCGTTACACTATGTTTGTATGTTGATGATATTCTGATTTTGGCACAAACATTGATGCAATCAATAAGGTAAAGTCTTTCCATCAAAGAGTTTTGACCTAAAAGATCTAGGAGAACCTCGATGTGATTCTAAACATCAAGCTTATTGAGGATGATAGTAAGATTACTTTGTTGTAATCTCAATATGTTGAGAAGATCTAAGCCGCTTCGGTATATGGATAGCAAACCTTCTCCAACACATTATGATCCCAATGTAACATTGAAAAGAACAAGATGATAGTGTACCGAAATGGGTATGCTACACCAGCGATCTACCATGTTCAACCAAGATAACGACATGCGAGTAGAGCATCATCGATCGTTACCACTAGACGACAAAGATAGCTAGAGTTGCAGCAGCCCAATGTCATGCACGCCATTGTAGTGAAGTAATACATCTTAACGTAATAGTAGCAATAACACGTCCGCCACCTCGTTTTCATCGCCGATCGACAGCAGTAAAACAACAATGTTCCATAGTATCCATATCGGCGAGATGGAACATCAAGTATCACGCAAAGCTAGACTTGGTGTGTCACGAGAGGATGAGAAAGGCACTTGCTTAGACTTGGAAGGACCAGTTATGTTCCCATGGGTGTCGGTATATATAGGAGGATAACTCCTATCTCAATATCAACTAGTGATATGGTACTAATTAATGTTGCATGTTCTACCTCTACTCATGGGCTTTAAAGTCGCCCCTTGTTAAAAGCCCATTAGTAGTATACTAATGCCCTAATGGATTATGTTTTAGCCCATTATGGGTCCAATCCATATAATGTATGATTGCCTTCGGGACATCACCAACAGATAGCTTGAGATCAATGGAGGCACTGAGATTACCGATTCACTCATGTACTTATCTAACACAATAAGACCAGGTATCTCTTTTGCTATGAGTAGAATGAATAGGTTCATGTCCAACCCAGTGATGATCATTGGCATGCACTTCAAAGGGTCTTGCATTATCTTAAAGGTACAATGAGATATGGAATTCACTATTCGGCACCCAACTATATGCTTGAGGGATACAATGCCTAACTAGATATTTGACGTTGATGAACTCACGCCACTAGATGGTATGTATTTACTCTAGAGGTGGTGCGAGCCATGGAGGCCTAGCAAGCAGGTCATTTTGATGAGGTCAACCATGAAGCCGAACTTATCGCTGACATAGCTTCTGCAACGCGAATGGCTATGTGAGCTCTTGTTGGACTTGCCGTGGTTGAAAAAACCAATAATGACTATCTTTAATTGTGAATTGTGATAACCAAATGGTAATTACTACGGTGAACATTGCCAGGATAATGCTAAGTCAACAAGACATGTTAAAGACATTTGAAGTCTCGTCAGAAATCCAGAAACTCAAGTAATAGTTGTGGCTTATGTTCAAATAGAAAAAATTGGCAAATCCTTTGTAGATGGGTATGAGACCATGAGTTTATAGTAATAGTAACCCAATATTTTTCATCGAGATCTCATGACTAAGGACCTTGGGAAGAACAAGCTATTGGTTAATCTATAACCTCTCTAAGTGAAGGTACAATCCTCTCATATATAGCTATAAGGTAGGTTGGCTAATGTCTTAATATGTTCTATTGGCTTTGATAAGTGAAGATGTTGTCTTGTAGAGCATTCTAGAAATAATATACCTATATAAGCCCAACTCAAAACATCACAATCTATGAGACTTGGGTGATCTCTATTAAGCTCATGAAGAGACTAGGAGTAAGATGTATATGCTCCACCCATGGGGAAGGCTACTGGAGACCAGTACTAGTTTGAATTTTAGTGAAATTTGTCCAAGTATGCACCAAGACATAGTCCATTATTAAAGTTATGGATGGGTGTAGCTTGAAGCTCTGTGGAAGTTCAACTAACTGCCTCTCCAAACATTAATATATCAGTAGGGAACATGCAAATTCTAATTGGGCACTAGAGATATAGTGGTGGATTGTTGAATATATATGGGCTTGGCCTAAATAGAATTATGAAATTTCTATGAAGAAATCTCAAAGGCCCATTCATTTGTGCAAAGGGGAGTGGAACTCTTTAGTCCCACCTTACTTGTGGAATTGGAGGTCATGCTAAATATGGAAGTCCTCCACTCCCTCAAGTCTACTATGAGGAGAAAGGAAGCCCACACGCGCCGCCACTCGCCTCCCTTGCGGACCTCGACAAAGGGCGGCGACACCCACGAATGGTCCGCCAAAATCCTACCCATGTCATTTCAGGGTGCAACCTCTTTTTTGCAGAGATTTGGCTACTTGTCCTTTAAGTTTTATAGATAGGAGGCCAAAATGGTTTAGATCACGATCATGACATGAGATTGTGTTAGACAACCTATCACCAACGCCAAGACGCATCTAATCGAGGTAGGTTTTTGCCTCTTCTGCCGATGTGCCATCGTAGCTCCATCTCGAGCATCTACGCACTAGTGATCTGGGAGAGAGGTCTCCGAACCTTGTTCTTGTGATCTTGCAATAGAGAGGACAAATAAAGTTTATGGGAAGTGTTGTTCGTATACCTCCCGACCTCCATGACGGGTCATCTTCCATTCAAGTTAGATGGCGATCGTCCCCGCCGCCGTTCTCTCATTGTCACTAC